TTCCTGATATTGTTTTCTTCGATGATTTAAGAAGTTAATAATTTAATTATGTTTGATAAATTAGTAAATACTCAGTGATTCAAGCTTCCTGCAAAGATCAATCCCATTCTTTCAACGAGTGCTACGCTAGCGCACGCTTGTTCCAAAATGATAAAAAAATCTAAATATTTCAGAAATACGAATGGAGCACGTAAGTATGGAGGTCGACAGCGCAGGTGATGAGCGCGTTTGGCCTGAGATCGTGAAGTTTAAGCAACTTTTACAATGGTCGGTTATTGGATGCGTGACCAAAAGCTTATTATCTCGAACTCCTTCGTGATTCGAAAGGCACATCAAGAGGTTGGTCCCAGCTGCATCTGCAGTCGTTAGCACCCACCAATCCGCACTGGGCCCGCGTGGTAGGTCATGACCCAATTTCCATATTATTTAGAATAAATGACAATGACTTCCTCTGCCCCACAATATAAGTCATACATCTAGCAGTTTTGAACATTTGAAGATATTTAACACAATGTATTTGTACCAATACATAACAAAATAAAAAAAAATTAAGTATGAAGAAATCATTTTATACAAAAACGTTACTATTTCCAAAAGAAAAAAAAAACTCCTGCATAAATTTACATTAAACAATATTATAGTCAATTGAAATAAGAAAATATACGTATTGATATCGAAGCCTATTTTAATAAGACTAATAATAATATGTGGATTGTATTCATAGTTTTCGAGAGTGTCTGATTACGAATACGACAATAATTTTGAGATCCAAGATGGCGAAATCTTAAATTTACTCGACTGCAGAGGGTAACGTTTTTCGAGTGTATGTATCATTTGATTTATCGTGACTGTGTATATTGAAATTACAAAAAAACTAAATCTGTAATTAAAAACCCTACACTTTGATACCCCAACTTTTTTAAGTAGTTTCATGAGTGAAATATGGCTGATATTTAGCGCCAAAATGAAACATCTTGAAAAAAAATGGTCTTTCAAGTTGCTATTACAAGGTGGAGGATTATAAAATACAATTCATAAAATCTAAATAAAATTATACATATTATATGTATATGTTATTATATTTAAATAAATCAGAAAAACAAATCTCATATCTGTTTAGTAAGGAACAAAGCTACAACAACAGTAACAGTCGAGACTCATTTAAAATTCTAGAATGGATCAAATTTTCCCAATAATTGGTCCCTACTGTTAAAGTACCTTTACTTGACTAGATTCTAGAAACCTTCGTTTTATTTGTTTTCATTTAAGTTTAGTTTTTAATCAGTTGGGGTTTTGTTTTTCAAATAAAGTCAAAGTGATCTTTATAGTTTTAGATGAAGCTGGTTACGAATACTACATTTATCTCGATATTCGAGATTATTATTAATATTTCAGATTATGCGACTTTGCAGTCCTCATGGCACTGTAGTCACTGCAACTGAAAAGATATATTTTGTGACTCGCCATCACGTTAAAGTTCTTATCTGTTTTAGCCAGACAGCTTCTATGGCTACAAGTTTCTAGAGATTTAATTTCCTCTAGTCATATTATATGTCGTCCCAGATGAATAGATATTACAGTTTGTCTATAAAGTCGTGACAATAAATGATGGCGCCACTAGTATGCATGTAGCAAACCTATACAGTCTGACCAAAAGGATTTTGATACTAGCAGTTCATTCGAGTAAAATAGGTAATTAATAAGACACACCATACAGTCGTATTTTGTTTCTGTTTTATATATAGTAGGTACCTATGCTTATAAAAAGTTTAGCCAAGCATATTTAATTGAATCAGAATAAAATTATTATAGATAAAATAGTACTTTATAGTGTAAAAGTGTGTAATGTTGGTGATTACCGTTGAGGTGTCATTAAGACCAGAGCCGTTAGGTAATCATCAATACACACAAGTATCATCATACGACGTTTTTTAACACACCTTTTTAAGAAAATAATACTAAAAATAATTTTTAATATATAAAAAGTTTATTTAGAGAAACAATTTGTAAATGTGCAGTTAGTAAAATCAGTGATAGGTATCTTCACTAAAAGCATCTGACCATGGTTCTTTATGTGACCATTTCATTCTTTGGTCGGCCTTGCCTGTTTTCCCAGGAGTTTCAAACTTTCCATCATTCTTAAAACCTTCGTTGACTATCCGACTCTCTGATTTTCCTGAAAAAAAGTAAATAAATATGTAACGGAATAGAAACAATAACTTATTGACATGAAGCAATTAATTCAAAATTGGTAGAAAATCTGACCGAGTTGAACCATAATAACGTATCAAAAGAAATGGTCGTACTACAATATTACCTATTTACAATGTCAATGTAACCTAAAAATGTGCAATGTATACAATGCCTTTTTTGGTTTCAAAATCGTAAATTGAGTAAATTTGTAACTTCAGGCAGATTACAAACAAATAGTTACACGATTACATACCCGTCATAGATGCTGTTCGCCCATAAACATCATCCAAATCCCACAAAATACGTCCATCTTGGTAGTCTTCGAAACATCGCTGGAAAACTTTAATAATCACTTCCCGCGTGCCACTCCGATTTACTTTACTCATTTTTATACCTTTCTGCGTAGTTTCGTCTTAATTTATTACAGTTTAATCCAAACAATAAAAAATACAAAAGAAAAACTGTTCCACAACTGAAACTCGATGACAGCTGATGTACATGAGTTTGGTGTTGCCATCCACATGAATAATGTTAGTTCCTCAAACATTCATGTCACGACTTTATAGACAAACTGTACATTTTTGGATTACAATAAAATAAGCTAGTGCATATAAAAGAAACTGTGTTTTAAATACTCTAGGAAGTAAAAATAAATAATAAGTTAAGGTAAAATTCCAAAAATTCATTGATAGGAAGGAACAGAATCTAAATAATATTAATTTTTATCTCCTGGACTATAAGTAAAGAAACCCGAATTATAACACCCATAAAAAAACGTACACGAGCTAGTTCAAAAACGTTCGTAATCGTATTTTTTTTTTCGCGACACGATAATAATCAAGGTGTAACTAAATAAAATCTGGGGCCTCGTGTGACGGTATTTACCAGTTAACAGCATTTAAAAGCTATTGAAAAAAAAAGTTGTACTCAACTATATCAGTTTGCGAGGTTATAAAGGCCGCTCGATGTAGCTGAACTGATAATTAACTTTAATTTGATTTACTTTCTTGTACCTATACGCTGTTTACATTAATATATTGCTCATTATCAAATAAACCGATAAGAAAACAAACAAATTAAAAAGTAGTAAGTTCATTATGCCGTCGATTCTGGCATAATTATCTAAAGCTAAATTTTTGACAACAGTGTATTACATCCTTGTCATTCTCTATACAGACACCTATGTATTGTTTATAATTTTTATGTGACTAATTTGGATCTAACCTGCATCGATATAAAGTACTTTTAAACATATCATATTTCAACGTCGAAAGAATGATTTTGTCAATTCTGGCGTGATTCTCTAAACTTAAAACTAAATTTAAGGTCAGTCTCACCTTTTCATTCTGTATAGAGAAGGACAAGGATGCACTGTTGTCAAATTTAAGTTTAACTTTAGAGAATCATGCCAGAATCGACATCTTTGTGTAGTTAAGTTATAGATCATGAATGATTGAATGTTTGTTTTTTTATAAAATCTATCCATGTATATTTGTTTTATCAAATTGCTATCATATCGGCAGATGCACTTAATTAAATCTGGTTGAAAGATTTGCAGTAATAAAAATACCAATTATTCATTTCATTCAATTTACTACTTTCGTCGAAATTAAGAAGTCACATCGTCGTCACAGCACTATGAATTTCTACCTATTATTTTTGTCATTCATTCGTCATTCCGCACCTTTTCTTTTAATGGAATTTTATACAAGAATACTTACCAGTAATTGAAAATTCTGGTAAATAATAGGAATTGAAGTGGTAGATCGGTTTTTGCATGAGGAAACAACATCATTTTCCATTTTTGTGAGAACTCGCGACACGGAACAATCCAATATGGTAGCGGTCGCGCGTGAACTATTTTTTATAAACGTACTAGATCAATGGTCTTGTACCTTTTGACAAAGGGGAAGTGCCTGTAATGGCGTCTCTCATTATAGATACTCTAAGGTTTCAACGGTATATTTGAAAGTTGTAGGTATTTAATTGTGTTTATTTTACTAATAATGTACACAACAGCATCAATTGATAAATAACCACTTTTTATGGAGATGGATATGATTTTTATAGTCATTTAATGTTATTTAATATCTTGTCTCCATAAATTTCAAAGTAGTGGTTACATCAAAGTTATTATTGGTTTGCACTTAAGATTTTATTAAAAACTTGTAAATAATTCCCAACCATAGAAGTTGGCCATCCTATTAGAAAGTGATAAATGGCCTCTGTAATATACCTCTCACTCGTCCCCTTTTACCAGTAACTGTCGTCAGACCTGTTTTTAAATATAGTAGGTACGGCCACGACTTCTCTGTATTGACTTTAATAGGCGTCAAAATCTGCAAACTTATACAATAATTATGTTCCTGTTGCAATTCAAGCCTCTTTCTGCTTAGCTTGCCGCTTAACATCAGTCTCTTATTACCACAAATTATGCAGTCTAGTTATGCTAGGTTAGGTTAATGCTACGTTCAGTATATCTACGAGAAGCAACTTTGGTGAAAATGACACTGTCTGGAGGCATTGAACGGCCTTAGCTGTTTTATGTCAAAGCTGTGTAAAGATTGGCATGAAACAACTGGTTAGTTGAGATTTATAAATAACACTCCATGTCAAATGTCTTATTGCTTTTCGTCTGGTGAATACGGAGCAACAAAATATGTATCTTTTTTCGTTTCCCCGGGTTGTAAATAAACATTTTTTTTACAAATCAATCTCCTGTGCAAGGTCGTACAGCGCAAACTCGTAACTAAGTTGACGATATCCGCTGCGAGGTGGCGCTGTAGTCACGCATGCGTCTTTATATCAATGACTGACTGCTAACCACAGACAAGAGTATTGTAATCTGGCAAATTCTTTTTTGTTTGTAGGTTATGTTTTAGTGTTAAATTGTCAAAATTTATGTTGAATATTTTCCTGGAATTTGTTCATTGTTCCAAAATGGAGTGGACGTAAAGAATTGTTTAGTGAATGTTTTACATAACTGTCGATTAACAGACCGATATTTCCTGCTAGTGGCTGTGTAATCTCGAGTGTCACTTGACATTGGATTGAAATGTGAATACGCACTTCTCGTTTCTCAAGCTATCCATTTTCGCAAAGTTCTGACTGGTAAAACAAGTGATTTCGGGACTCCTGTATTATAGTATTGGTTTAAGATATACCAAGTAACAACTACGATGACGAGTCAACTGTCGGTTTTGAAGTTATACAACACAGTTGTGGACGATGTGATATCCGGAGTTCGCGATTGTTTCTTAGATGACGGCGTAGACGAACAGGTGCTACAAGAATTGAAACAATTATGGAAAACCAAATTACAAGCGAGTGGTGCAATGGACCCACCCCAACCTGAGCCTACAATGCCGCCGCCGCCAGTGTTACAAAATTTCCAGAAAGCCAATGGTAACAATGTGCTTCCTAAAAGAACTATTGATTCTCACATGGCTCAGGGTTCGAGCCAACAAAATCCAAGCTTAGACCATGGAGCTCCTGCGTCTAATATAGCTGGCACACATCCTCATCATGTCCTTGATCCTAACAATAAAGTGCCAGTCCAACTCACTCTGCCAGCTCAACCTGGTGTGCCGGGTTCACAACCACGCTCTTTTACAATTCAAATACCAGCATCAGCACTCAATGGCAATAAGCTACATCAAGTTTTGACAGGCCCAATCATAAATGCCACAATAAGTTTACCACAACCATTAGCTGCTACACTTTTACAGCAACATATCAACTCTGCATTAGCGGGTCAACAGAATGAGTTTGATGGAGGAGGTGGTCGCAGTGGTGCAGCACCATTCTCTTTAGATGGTGCCCTTGACTCTTCTGATGATGAAGGGTCCAATGTTGGAGATGGTTCAGAAGATGGAGCTGGTGATGATGATGAAGACGAAGAGTCTGCTGAGGAGCGTGCTGAAGAAGAGGAAGAAGAGCGTGATGAGAGTGGAGGGGCAGAGGAAGAGCCTCTGAACTCTGGTGATGATGTCTCAGATGAGGAACCTGGTGACATGTTTGATACTGACAATGTAGTTGTTTGCCAATATGACAAGATAACTCGCAGTCGTAATAAATGGAAATTTTACTTAAAAGATGGCATTATGAATTTAGCTGGAAAAGATTACGTGTTTCAGAAAGCAAATGGTGATGCAGAGTGGTGAAACTATGTTATTGTAAAGGAGCTGTGTCTATTTTTTTATTGATGGTGTAACTTGTTGTGTCGACTGTTAGTGTATAATTGAATGAGACCCAGACTTGAGACATGGTATCATGTCTACATTATGAAACATGTTGACTTTGACTTGTTTCCATAGATTTGAATGCTTGACATAATATTTACATTAATTTTGATATGGTCATTAGCATATAACCAAGGGCTAGAAAATTATTGTTATTAAGAACTTATTTCCTATGCCTTATTGGAATAACACATATTCACTTGGTATTCTCTGTACTTTTATAAATGAGGAAAACTTTGATAAATGTCAATGGATATGAAAAGATATTAATGATTTCAGTTCAGAATTTGCTATTATCTATCAAATGTAGTTAAAGTCACACTATATGCTGTATCAAAGAAAGTAGAACTTAGGTATTGATTTGTGCTCTTTTGTAATTAGACAATAGATTCTTCTGGTGTGTATGGTTGTTGCTGTTTATAATATGAAATGCTATATTGCTTCACTAAGTTGAATATTTTGAGTTCAATGAGTCAGTGAATAAAGTAGCTAGGTACTCACATCTAATAAATCAGCAAATTTTGTGCCATAACCATACAGTGCAGGTTTCAAGTGTGTATTTAATATTCATTGTGGTTGAGTGTTTGATTGACCGCTGTTAAGCAGAAAGTGACCAGCCTGCATTTTTGCTGTTAGCACAAATGAGTTCTGTATACCAATGTTAAAGTATGATTGTAAAAGCAGAAAGCATTGGTAATTTTTGGGATCAAACAGAATCAAATTTTAACATGGTTAGTAGAACAAATTTTTGCTTACTTCAAAAATCTCCTCTGGTCGCTTTCTGCTCAGCAATGCTCAATTCAAACTTTTAAAATTTTTGTTAATTGTCTTAAAAACAATATATAAATTGTGTAAACTTTCTGTGCAGAAATAGGCTTCCATCTTTGTCTCTTAGTGAAGCTAAGATAGCATAGGATATTTGAAGGTGTGGGAAACATATTATATTAATTTTCTTTAAGACCAATCTTTTAGAATACTTGTAAGTACACAATTTGTTTGTACATAAATTTCATAAAAATCTCATCTTTCAAAAATAGTTTATTTAAATTTCTTGTCAATAAATATTTTCATTTTTCTAAATTTTTATATATGTAAGTATCTATTTGTTAGTAAGTTTTTATGTTTATTTCAATGTATTTATTTTTAACAATTATAAATATTTGTTTAAAATATGCTGCATAATAACAAAAGTATGACTAGTAGTTTTTCATTACAGTAATTTTTGGAAATGTTAAATATGTATGCAGTTCATAAATTGATTGTGTCATTAATTACTTCTGTTTATTTTTGTGTGCACAAAATACCTTTGCTATTTTGAGACACTATTATGTTCGTCGTAAGTTATTAATTATTGTGATAAATACTTAGAAAATAATCTTAATTCATAACATTAATTTCCAATGGAACTTGTTTAGGGTTGTGCCTATCTTAAAAATTTTTTGATACAGCCAATTATGTTCCCTATTTACTATATCTATTTACCGACTTTCTTGATATTAGTAAGTTACTTATGGTTTTTTAATCACTTGCATAAAAAGAGTTTGACGAAGATAGTAATAATATTATAATATGTTGCATTAATGTTGTCTTTCATTATCAAAATAACCATTTTTACACGAGGTTGTAGGTGGCAATTTAAATACCCCATTTAAAACGTCTTGTTAGTCTAGCTAGTACAAATAAATTAATACTGATATCAATTTTCAACATTCAATTTGTTGGCATTGACTGTTTCCCTGAAAATTCCCATTTCGTTTGGAATCATTATTTTGGGTGGTAATTAGGTGAAGATATGATAAGAAGGTACCTACTTTCTGAGATCAAATGTTAATCTTATAAAGTAGCTACTAAACAGATCTTTAGCCTAAAGCCTGACGAAAATAAAAACCCACTTAATACCTAAAACAAAAGCACTACAAATAAAGAAAAATAATTGTTTGGTAAGCCATTCAAAAATTTTGGTTTGCAAACAAAATCAGGCTAAAAATTATTTAGCCAGCATACTTACTAACTATTTAGTTTAGTAATAAAAATCAGTCTGCAATTCTTGTTTCGTAAACTATCATAAAAATGGTCAGTAATTTAAACAGAAGGAGGTAACTTGCTTTATTTTAGAACTGCAAAATACAGTCATACCGCAAAAAAAATTGTACAGCAATATTTAAGAATTAGGCCACAGAGATTACATAAAATATCTTTTAGTATTGTATTTGAGGTGTGCATATTTAAGATTTGATTAACGTTGCAAACTAGTTTTTATTGAAAAATCTTACCATAAAAAGTAAGATAAAAAGATACTTCCTCTTATTAACATAGAGTCCCATATCACACTAATATTATAAAGGCGAAAGTTTGTGAGTGTGTATGTTTCTTCTTCACGTCCAAACGGCTGAAGCGATTTTAATAAAATTTGCTATTTAGTTAGCTGACACCCTGGATTAACACATAAGCTACGTTTTACTGCGGGAAAATATCCCTAATAAACCGCGGGGCACACCTACTAAAATATAAAAATCACAAGGTTATGTTATGTTAACCAAAATGCGTGAGCCGAGCAAATAAAGCGAGTATGCAGTGGCAGCAACAACCAGAAAAAAAGTTTTGATGGAGTGAGGGTTGTTTATCTTTGAAAATAATATGTGTTTGCTTTGGTAGGGAAGGGGAATTGGGGGTATGGGGGAATCCCCTAACCCTCCCCCACCCCTTAAATTGACTGACCTTAATCTATATTTTTATTCTGATGATGATTTTATAAATCCCCAACGGTCCCATGTCTGCAAAGAATACACCTTTTTTATAGCACTATTTTTGAGAAAACCAGTTACAAGATTTTCTAACGCTGTATTGTCCAAAATATGTACACGTTTCCACGCCACCTATCACGCCAATATAGATTAAGGTCCGATAATTTAAGGGGCGGTAGCGGGGAAGGGGGTGGGGGATCTCCTCCAAAGCAAACATATATTATTTTCAAAGATAAACAATCCTCACTCCATCAAAGCTTTTTTTCTGGCGCTTAGCCGGCCGCTCCCCCGGCACGCTCGCTTCGCTCGCTCGGCTAGCGCTTTTTCGTCAGAACACTGGCATAACCTAACCTAGTGATTTTTATATTTAATATAGACTCTGGTGTCAATTCTGACATGATTCTCTAAACCTAAACTTAAATTTGACACCAGTGTATCCTTGTCATTCTCTATACAGAATGAAAAGGAGAGACTGATGTTAAATTTAGTTTTAAGTTTAGAGAATCACGCCGGAATCGACACCTCTATGGTAATAAGAGAAAGTATCTTGTTATCTTTCTTTCTGTGGGAAGAAGATTTTTCAATAAAATGCAATCTAACCTTTTCATTGCTAACCAAAATTTAAATATACACACCAATCAAATACACAGCTTATAAATCTGTATTCTACCCAATTCTATAATATTGCTGCCAAAAAAAATATTTTGCTCACTATTTATTATGCAGATACATCGTTAAACAAGCTGCCTGCTTGTTTTTAAATTACTGACCATCATCATGATTGTCTACAAAACAAGAATTGCAGCCTGATTTTTATTACTGCTTACAAAGTCTGTATGCTGACCAAATATTTTTAGGCTGCTTTTGTTTGCTAACCAACATTTTTAAATGGCATACCAAATAATCACTTCTCATTCTCATATTCATTATTGTTGTGCTGTTAGCAAACAACATTGAAATGAGTTAACCACAATCTCTGCGGACGCGTTCAATTTGCGGTCAGCTCGGTTGCAGGTACCTGTCCAGCTCGAATATATTTTGTCTGCATGGACAATTTCACTACGAAGATCTAAATTTAATTTGCTAGCAAAAAGTCTCGCTGTAATAAAACTGGTAAATAATCCATAAAATCCACTGAACCCTCAATAGTGATAAGCTTTAGCCCTTATAAAATAACCAAATAGGATACACAAAACTGCTGAGCAAGTATTGCAAGAAAAGAGGAGGAGGTGGATAAGTGTTTAACGCGTTCGGAAAATCGTAAAAGTTAAGCAACTTTCGCAATGGCCGATCATAAGATGTGTTATTGGAAATTTATTATCTCGAGCGCCGTGCTTCGGAAGACACGTTAAGTACCGTTGGTCCCGGCTGATTTTGCAGTCATTAGCACCCACCAATCCGCTCTACGCCAGTGTTATGGCTCATGTCATGGCCCTGTCTCCCCGCTCCATCTACGGGGAAGGCCATTGTTCCAATGTAAGAACTATAATTAAAAATTCTACTAAGTGAACCTTTAATTGATTAACTGTTGTTATAACGTTTTTTACTTATTTGTGAAACCGTTGGTTCACCAAGCAAAATAAAAGTAAAAATTGTGCTCACCAACAAATATATGCCTGAAATTTGAACCCTCCTGGGTTGTAGAGCGGACTGAACGCCCAACGCCCTGTCATGTCGCCGCGCCGCAAATACTTATCGAACCGTGGTTTGATCGACGGCCTGTGCGACTGTATCAAAGTGAATGGCCCTTTAAAGTTTATGATTTAAAAAAAACCCTCCTGATTTCAAATTTGCCTTGCCATTACACCAACCGGTAGCCTATCACTGCTGCCTGATCTTTAAGCGGATTGCATCCCTTTATTGATGATATTTACCGTTGTCCACTTATATTATCACATTTTATTGATTAAATTAAATGGGCAATCTGAAAGCGATCCATAAATTGCCAAGCAACTGAGCTGCCTTCAATCTCAGAATTATTAGTCCGGCAGATGTTGAAAATTTACATTTTGGAGCTTATTGCGCTTGTGAATACTTTTATTTTGTAGATACCTAGTTAATATTCTCATATTTTTACAGACAAGATTTTAGGTTTATGTTTTCTCAAGACTACTCTTTAAACTACTACTCTTTAAAAATACTTATTTAAATAAATGTAGTCCACCTACTTATTTTTATAGCTATTTATGATATTAGTGAGGTAACTTGGTAAGGTATTACAATCGAGTAGACGAGTACCATAGTTACGAGTTTGTAAATAACAATTCCGTGCGTATGTCATACAACGTTTTTCAATACATTTTCGAGGAAACAGCAGCTATACCTAATTAATGAAGTAAACTTTTTCCAATTAGACAATGGCGCGCATTTTCAAATTGCGCCACGTGCGATTTTT